CACTTGTTTATCACTATTACAACTATCTATCATTATTATTACTATGCTTGTTTAACACTTGTTTATCACTATTACTATACTTGTTTATTACTATTAAACTAACACAAAAGATTGTCCATGTATACGCCCCCTGTATATAAGTTTCCCCCCCCCCTATATAAGCCCATCAAAAATCGCTTACGAAAGAATGTAAGCCCAGGGCTTATAGTTGGAAGTTTACGGTATTGTCCTTATCTTTAATGACTAGAGTGTAGTACGAGGAGAGTTATGGCGTCACAATCATGGTCTATTTCTGTGAATGTTTCTGTATAGTGTTTACCTTAGGTGCAATAACTCTGAATTTACTATAAACTTCATATATGACATAGATAAGTAATGCTGTAAAGTATAATGTAAATAAATTTTTCAACAGATTATTTTATTAATTGTTTTGTGTGTTGGATAGAAGGGATATACATTTTTAATATTCGGTAATGCTAAAATGACACTAAAATTGAGTGTTATTTTAACACTAAGGTTAGAGTGCTAAAACAACACCGAAAAGGGTGCTATTATGACACTAAAAATGGAGTTATTTTAACACCTTTGCAGGTGCTAATTTGACACCCTACAAAGTGGTGTTAAAATAGCACCCAAAAAGGTGTTATTTTGTACCTTTTTATTTGACACCATTTTTGGTGTTATTTTAACACCTTCAAATTAACAGTGTATACGTATCCAGTGAAATAGTGGCTGGGCTACATGATATATTACTATTTTTGTGTTATGGGCCCATTGTTTTAGAGACATGGTAAATATCTCCTTACCAGAACAATTCATTCACAATTAAATACTTTCGATATATCAAATGCTAACCTTGAAACTTGTGGTCCCATGCATTAAGCTTTGCGTGGTTAGAGTTTAAGGTTTAAGGTTTAGAGTTTGAGGCTTGCAAAGGACAACCTCAGTTTAATTAATGTTTTCAAAGGGCAACCTTTAAGATTTGGAAAAGGACAACCTAAACCACATGTTTGAGAATAAGAAAGATGTTTAATTTGTGGTTTTGCTTCTGTCAGTGCATGTTTACACCCACCATCTACTGCCCTAACTCTATCGCTTACTCTGAAAACCAAATGTCGAATCCGCAGATAAATGGAATAATTATATATAGCAGTAAGTGTCATTTGTTTAGCAATTTGTTTTTTTTAAATCTATTTATGTATAGTCAGATTTTTTTAATATATTTTATTATATCTCTTTCTTACCTTACACACTTATCCCTCAACCATTCGATCTGTTAAAATCACCCAAATCAAGGTTTAGAACGACTCAGTATTGTATTCATTTACCAAGCCTTTCAAGCTCTTTGTACTACAAGCTCGGGGCTCATATTCATATAGGCCTATTCATTGCGTTACTCACTTCTTTTGAAATCGATTGTTTTTACGGTCTGTAAACATGAATATATGAATATGAGCCCTCCAATTATCGATCTTCCTACCGACCTTTCCCCTACTTTATACCCGGGGAAAAGCCACAACAAGTACTCACGTTCATCCCGAGTTAACTTTTCCCTAATTTATGACGATCATGTAACCCGTAAAATGTCTACTCATCCATTAGTAAATTCGCGTGATTTCAAACGAAAGCCAGAGTAAGTTTGAAACGACAGCGCTATCTGAAGACAATGACAAAAGCATTTCTTTAGAAAATAACTTCGGTAATAATAGTATCTAACCTCCTAAACACTGATTTGCATTACCAATAATAATAATTATATATATATATATATATATATATATATATATATATATATATATATATATATATATATATATATATATATATATATATATATATATATATATATATATATATATATATATATATATATATATATATATATATTTATGTACAGTACTGTATACAGATGTACTCTTTAACCCATTGAGTGACAATGCACCCTGATGCACCCTACTTTAGTATTTTACTCTGTCTAACGCCAGACGATTTTACTCGTCAAGGGGAGAGCGCTGGCGCTTAATGCGTTAAACTTGTTCGGTAAAAGGCATCGGCTCTTTTATTTACTCGTGCTTTGAACCATGTCTATTCAACCCATTAAGCTGCAGAGTTTCCTGTTGACGAGTAAAATCGTCGGGCATTAAACAAGTAAAAAATAAGTACTGGGGCGCAATGGGTTAACTAGAGACCTTGTCAGATTTTTTGATTTAGCGCCGAAGAGGCTATAAAGCAGGGGGTGATATTCCATTTTTCGTTACTACGAGTGTTGGTCCAAACGCAAAAAGTTGCTCAAAAGTTGCCGAGCACAATTGGGACATGCCTAGCAGAGCATCGAGGACCAAAGGCCGGAGGAAATTTTTAAATTTAGAGTCTCTGAAATGGCATTTCCTGGACTTTGGGGAAGATTTGACAGAATTCTGATGGCAAGAAAACAGCATTTTAGTATGTCGAAATTTACAATTTAGTGGCACTGAATGGGCGAAGGCGTATTTAATTAACTATATCAATATTGGATAAGTTGCAGGAAAGTATGGGAAATATAATCTTCATTCTTTGCAGTTTGTCATGGGTAATGTAGCCGCTTAAAATTAATCAAGTGTCAGTATTTTAAAGGTATATTATTTAAATGATTCTGCATGATTTTGGAAAACGAATGATTAGCATGAATGAGAATGAAAAAGAATGATCTGTATGATTTTGGAAAAAGAATGATTAGCGGTTGCTACGGCCCTGGGTTAGAAATAGGGTACACGGTACTACGTCAATGAACTACAAAGACCGCTAAACAGCTAGTGACTCGAACATTTGACTCAGGCTCGGATTTGACTCGGACTTGACACGGCAAACCAACAAACTCCTCACTTAATTAAACCATGTATGAAATTCTTAGTATAAACTATGATATGCCAAACTTTCCCTGGACGTAATGTTGCTACATCACTTGCTCGTTAATTATCTTTTTTAGTAATAAAATGTACATAATTGGAATATGACAAAAATTTATGGCAATTCATGGCAAAAGTTATAAAGGTAGATGTTCGATTATTTTTCGTATTAGCTGCGCGCATTGCATTTTGGGTATTTGTGCATTGCATTTTGGGTCTATCTGTTGATTAAAATTCAGAATTTTGCTGGCTATATGCACAAATTAAATTTGCTGCTTTGCTCCCTCCCTGTAGTAGCAATAATCGTTACATGTTAAATTTTTCTCCACTATAATAAATAACTGGATCCCCCCTTCTGAAATAATGTTTTTAGGTGCCCCCCTTTTCAGTCAAAAATATCTCATGACCCACCCCCTTCTTTTGCCAGCCCACCCCCAGTCATAAATAATGAATGGTCCCTAACGAAGAATTCTGTCAAATCCTCCCCAAAGTCCAGGAAATGGCATTTCAGAGACTCTAAATTTGAAAAGAAAGAATCCCACAAGGCATACAGTGACTTAGCATTAATATATTAAATTTTCATATTGTGAAGTACAGTATTTCTATATTTTAGTGGGTACTCGGATACGTGGAAGCGCAGTCAATTCTTTATTAATTAAGAAAAGTAGGCATACAGTTAGATTAGCATTAATACATCAATTGTCATGCTATAGGTTGCTCTATATTGTAGTGCAGTGGATACGCGGATATATGCGCAGTTTCAGGCATGATTCTGGCGTAATTAAAGAAATCGTCTGACTGCAATCGTTTTTGGAGACGAGACCATGTTTTCTCATGCTGACGTCCGATTTTCGTCATGGGATTCGAGGTTGCCATTCCAATTTTTATGATCGCTAAAAGTTTACCACGCGCATTAGAAGGCAAACACGTGCTTGCTTGCCATTTATGTGCATGGTTTAAAACTGTGTAACGGTGTAATGTTTCTCACGACCGAACATTGGTGTTTGACAGATTATGATTAATCCCCGAGCCGACGGCGCGAAGCGCCGTGCGAGGGTACTAATTCCCCCCCGGCTATTTACACCCGGGGAAACGAAAGCATTAGCGAAGTCTAAAGTTCATCAATCATCGCGGGCGCTGACCAACGAAGGGCGATCTTGAGTGGGTGGTCATCCTTATGTCAAAGATATGGCAAGCAAGATTTCAATTTTAAAAGACATATATTTGGAAAATCGTTTCATATACAACAAGCTTGAAGCAATTTTGTTTGAAGAAATGAGAAGAATTGGTTTACTACGGGAAATCGGGAAATATACGGCAAGTTTGCTTTGAATATTTTTAAAATGTTTACGAATTTTGTTGCTTTAACTTTTAAGTAATAAAAAACATGAACTATAGAAGCTCTAAGTTTCATAAATTACAGTTTAATTTGAGAAAAAATCTTAACATGTAAAGGCGACCAAATTGATTTGAAGACTGAACTGAAATTACCTAACAATTTTATTTTATTTGTATTAAAATTACCATGTTTTGTTAAGTAAAAATAGTTTATCGGCAAAATGTAGGTTTAATTGAATGAACATTTCAAAACATTTTACGAAGCGTTTCAAGTTCAATTTTACATTAAATCAAAGCTCACAAAATGCAAAATAATATACCTACAGTGTGTATTTCGGAAATTTATTGTTGTATAGTTAAAAAGTACGAATCTTTCAACTATTTTGCAGTTTTGTACAAAATAATTATATGAAAATAAAAATTTAAGAATATCGTGTTGTCATGGCAACACTTGAGCCCGAGCCTGCGTTCAGTGCTGGTCATTTCTGAATACTTCATGTTTAATGTATGGCAATATTGGCGAGGGGTTACTGCATGCATGTATTTCTAGTTTATATTAGAAAACATACTAAGCAAGAAACCTCGTTTTCAGGGTCTTGAAGACCCTGATATGGGCTGCATGGTCACGTGCCTCGTCCAAAATTTAGCGCCCGAGGAGGTGTGGGGGAAAGTATCAAATTAAATGTTTCCGGTGGGATATTCCAAAAACATAGATTTTGCGAATAAATAAAGTTCGAAATACTTACTAATATTTGTTTATTTTATTTGCTTCGAATTTGCAGAAACATTCTTAAATTTTTACCAACAGTCAAGTCAAGAAACGAAGCAAATCGTTACTCGCAGTTCTCTCTCGTGTTGTTATTAATGCTCTCTTCACACTCGGGCGCGGTTCTATAACAAACGTTTCAATGCCAATGGGCTTTTGAGTGGTCATCATTTCTACATATGTATATGCCGTAGGATGAGCATCCAAAAGATGCTTAGAAAACGGATTCCGTTACACCCCTCGTTGAACTACATCATTTTGACATGAATCAATGGATAAAACTTACTTTATCAGAATCGGTTGCTCCCCAAGCGAAGCAGGTGCACAATTTGGAAATAATACTCCTCCTAAGTTTGATATTTTCCCGCTTCGAAATATTCGAACAGCCATTGTTTTCGTAGCAAATACGCATGCACATGTC